GGCAAAGCATGATGTCCCCTCTCTCCAAGTTGCCCAGAATCCATTCAACTTCACCAAGAGACTGGATTTCTGCACTGGGGAAGGAGGAAGATTTGTCCATTCTCCCACTAATCTCCCTCCTGGGTTTGTGTGGGATACACAGAGTGTACAAGTACTAAAGCGGTGAAAATTGATACAGATTTACCTGAGAGTTATTCTGAGATATATTTAAGTCAAGTACGGTCTCACATAGTTCCTTATATCCTCCCATCTCTGCCTTTTCAGGACTCTTCCCAGAGCCCAGAAGAGAAAGTTTCATCTCTCGCAAATCGCAAAGCCATGTCTCGGGTGAGATGATGTTTCCTTTCTTCTTTCTGAAATAACTTCTTTTTTCTCTCCAGGATGTATGAACATTCACTTCCCTATCTTTAAATGTCCTGGATATTGGGATTTGTTTCCATGAAAGTGATTTCCAGTCAAGGTCCACTAGGGTGAGATGAATAAACAGCCTATGGTGCAACATTTAAGGAAGCACTCACTCTCAGGGCTGTGTCTCCTTAAATCTGCACCTTTGGCACCTCTCCTGCTTCGTGGTAGTACCAGTCCATTCACAGATTCTCTCACTCCAGACAGATAAGTTTTAACCTTCTCCAAGTGCACCTTCTAGTTGTAGCCAATGTTAGTATATTGATTGGGTATGTCATTCATCGTCTCCTTTCTCCATCTTCTCCCAGAAGTGCTGCTGGGTTAGAAATTTATTGTCTTGATTTAAATGAGAATATATTTCTTAAAGGCCTCTACCTTGTCTAGACACTGATTTGAGATCAAAGTTTGAATAGTCCGGGGGCAGACACGGAAAAAACGACCATCTCCTCTGACCTAGGTTTTGCAGTAACAGGTTATAAAGTAGAATTAGTAGATTACATTATTAGTTTGTGGCAAGATAATTCTGTTTTGTGAGATTTTCAGAGTAGAGATTTAATTGCAAGCAAGTACTGAAACAGATTTTGCATTCCTCCTCTCTGATCCCTCTGTTTTTCACCCACATCTGCCAGCAATTCCTACAAACTGGTCAACCAGTGAAAACCTTCCAGTATTCCAGTGCTATTACATACTTATTCTGATCTTTTTAGTTTCTTGTAATTATTTTATGTAGCTGCAGGAGAAAGAAATGCATATGCTTAGTTCACTCTACTCAAGCAGAAGTGTAACTCTTGAAATATTTGGTTCTTGACTTGAAGGTGGTACTTTGTGCTGTTTTCATATCTTTTTCTCAGAAAATTCCTCTTCGTCTACCAACGTTTAAAATATTGGTGTCCTCCAGATGCTAGGTTGGTTCTGTTCCCTCTTTTTCTCTATGCACAATCAGATTCACTCTGAAGGCTCCACTGATCATGTGTCTTCCAGTGACTCTCAAATACCTCTCTCCATGTTAGACTCTGTCCAGAGTGTCGGAACCGTATATCCAACCTCCAACAGATATCACCACCTGTATGTTCCATAGACACTTAGAGTGCATTTCCAAGGTTGACCTCATTACCGCCTTCAGTCTAGCCTACTCTTTATTCTGTTTCCATTTCTCTTGTCTAGTCCCAGCACCCACCCGTTTGCTTGTACAGATAACCCAAGAGCTTCTCCTCTCGTTTTTTCACTATACAACCAATTTATGACCAATCCTTTTGCTACTCATCGAGTAGGAATCAGTTCTCCCTTGTCCAGCCCACTAATACCACTTTAATCTAGGTGGTGTCTCTCACAGTGGTCACATAATTGTCTTTCCCATCTAACACACCTCAAGCCTTCTGCAGTCTTCAAGAGCATAGCCTCTAAAGTATAAATTTTCTTACATAACATACGTGCTGATGCAAAGTAGGACAAGTACCACAGTGGAATGTGTAAGACATTAGATTGGAAGGGAGGAAAGTCTGAACAATCTACATTCAAGACTAGTAATCATTAACAATATTGATTGCCATTAGTGCCTATTGATGATTTATAAATACATTGGGAGTGTGCTCGATATGGTTTTTAAGACCATTGCTCTGAAGGAAGAAATCCAGTATTCTTTCATAATATGCCCACTGCCTATCTCTGTCAAAAAAAAACCCAAAAAACAAAAAACCAAACCCCTTGCTGTTAAGTCGATTCCCACTCATAGCAACACTATACGATAGAGTAGAACTGCCCCATAGAGTTTCCAAGGAGTGACTAGTGGATTCGAACTGCCAGCCTTTT